CTCCTAGAGACATGAGGATCTTTTACGTGCTGTAAATCTACAACACGGGACCCACGGCTTAAAGTCCCTCCCAGAGGACTTGTTCCCTGAATTTTTCCGCCCTTAAAAATTCCACGACCTCTGCCGGGTTTGAACACGCGTACCTTGAGTCATGAGGTGGGAACATTACCCCTTGACTACGGAGGCCACTATGAAACACCCTAAGAAAGGATCAAAAGTTTCAAAAATCTGACACAAATGCATACTGAGCAGGGAAATCTAGTTGATATTGTAACCATTCATTCTAATTGGTGGACTGTTGTGTATTAATTATTCCTATATCAAGTTAATGTCGAGTAAACACCAAGAGATGCGGCAGATAGCCAACTCGTACACGCAGAAGGGGAGCACAACGTAGGATCAAGGAAGACAGTTACAGAGAAAGTGGCAACCAACGTAAAGGGCCCAAAGAAGTGAGAGGTTACAATATAGGCTTTGAAGTTCTCACTGCAGTGACTAGTTCTACATATCTTCTGGGATATGACACCACACTGTCTAGCAGAAGTTCATCAACAATCTGGAGGGACATACTGCCTTCATCCACAGCATCAAAGAGTAAGCCAAGCTAGTAACCAGTTTCCTTTTGTGCTTCTACATGTTCTCTCTGAGCTCCCTATTATATGTGTACATCTATGCATGGCTTGCTCTGCTTGCCTTCTGGTGGTCTCTTGCTTGACTCACCCTTCATCCCTGAAGATGGTGATATGTGCCCCCTGAAAAACTAGTTGACTCTCAACAGACAACCTGGCATAATATCCTCACAGTCACTGCTATGAGAACCTAAAATTCATCAAAATTTTCATATTAACTGAAACATACCCCAAAATGCATGTAATTTAGAAACTTAAGCCAGAAACTCACCTCGCCTAACATTATTCTCTCTGGAAGAGGTGTCCGCAGCTCTGTCTGCAAAGTGTTGATGCTCAACACCCATAGCTCCAAGTCCTTCGACTAGCTGCAAATTATCACTCACGAGTTCATCCGCTGTCCTTACTTGAGGTACATCCCTGATAACATATTTGTACCAATGCTAAGAAATAATTCTTCTCAAACACATACTTGCTTCAGATTTATTTTCTTATATAAAGAATATAGTTACAACATCAAAACTTCACTTTTGATACACTTAATTAACAATATGAACATGCGGGTGATACGTGTTGGCTTCCTGATCAACAGTAGCAGTAATGGGAAAAAGACAAAACTCAACACAAGCTCAATATTCTTATTGAGAAAAACTTAATTTCCAGATTAACAATTCGTACTTCTTCCGGGATCAACAAATCACATTAACTGCTTTCACATTAACTGAGTTATGAGATAAAGAATTAAACATGATACAAAATATGTTACCTTATAAGGAGGCTGCTAAAACACACTACTGTTCTCCGTGCGTGACCTTGCCCTATTGAAAATGTGGACAGTTCTTCAGAGTAATCTTCTGACACTTTATGTATAAGGAATCGTCTATAGCTGTTTAATGGTGGAAACACGAGCACACTGAAAGGGAATTGTGAGTAAAAGTGGATCAGTATTTTACACATGCCTCCGAACCAACAGCGATATTCAAGATGCAGCTTGCTACTTCATTCACTTTCACTGTCCTACAGCTATGCATTCCATACCTCTTCCTGGTGATGATCAGTATACAAACAGCCATCAGAGAAATGGAAATCTTAAACTTACAAAAGAATGTACTGTAGGCAATTAATTTATTTTTACTTCACATCGATGCAACAGTGGACCTTAATTTCATGCGTCATTCAGTAGCATAAATGCCCTTACCTTCTACTCCTACGACAGCGATTCACGAATTGTTTTATGTCAGCTAAAACACAGTCAACAAATTCATTATCCTGAAGACTAATATATCTACCAACCACAGCGTTATCCAGTTTGAAGGACAAAAATAAAACGTGACTTCTGTTACCAACACACCGAACTCACCTAAACCTCATACATTGCGCAACAAAATTGACCGAACAAGGCTATATGAATATGACGTCACATGTGAAACAAGTGACGAGCGGTAAGCGAGTTGAAAATGTGTTTCACATCAAGTATGAAAAGTACACCCTCTTCTAAGAAATATTAAATGCTGTGCGAATGAAGTTGGGTCTGTAGTTTACAAATAAATATCTGCGGCGCCTACTGCTGTTTAGATATTTGGGACATTTTCTGCACTGAAAATAACAAGATGCTGTCGCTTTTTATGACCTGCTTCATAAGCGGCAATCAGTTGCGTTTTCCACTGAATCCTATGTCTACAATTACTGTCATAAAAATACTGCATGATCAGTTTACTTTATCAAGAAGTAAAACTGTGTAATTCATATTTTTGACAATGAGGTCAAAACAGGCACGGAAGTAGGAACACTAGGGGAATCGAAAATATACATGTAGAAAGTGCAAGGAAGTAGGCAAGTCGTTACGCTGCCGCTTTCGTTTGCATCACTTCTTAAACTTTTGCTTTCACTTCTTATAAAACGCTGCGTAATACTTGCAGCATTGTTCCTGATTTAAATGAGAATCCAATTCAACGTGCAAGTATTTTCAATTTGCAATAACAATAATAAGCAATAATAATAACTTGGACGCCACGCACTGGCACAGAAGCTGAAGATCTGCAATGTATTATTACATTTAATTTATTCCATTTTATAAATAAGACCAAAGAGACGGACTGTGAATGTCTGCCATATTGCAATATGTAGCCCATAATATTTGTTAATAGTCACTGTATTAATACGGCAAAACCTGCTAAAATGGTCCCAGTTGGAAATCCACCTTGTGTAACTTTGGCTGCATGTTTACCGAAAGGGCACGTGTAAAATTACATATTGTCACGTGCTTCCTATGTGACGCGACAAAACATTTCACGCCGCTTCGGATTTAGCGAATATTTATTGTACATTTTTATCCACACTTACATAATTCACAATGTCACATTTACTCCTTCTGCTATAGTCCTTCTAGACTTCAACTGTACTCGACGACTGTCAGCCTTCAACTGACTAACTTCTGTTCTGCCGAATACTCCCGGATTCTCATACACTGTTGCGTAATCGCCGTGTTTACATAGGAGTTGCTGGGCAACGTTGCGTAGCTCGCTGCGGCTCGGCTAGGCACGGCACGGAGAAACACCGCTTTCCTTACTGTTGCGTAATCTCGTTCCACTGTTGCGCAACTTGGCAACCGACCGTTTATCATGAGTCTGTCTTCGTGGTAAGTCGTTCCACACATCGTTGCCCAACAACGGTTTGACATGTCACAAAATACGAGGGGCAGTCAAAAAGTTCCCGGAATGGTGGTATAGCACTCTAATGGTAGGACATACAGCAACGCTTACCTAATCACCTTCAAAGTAGGACCCTTGTGTGCACACACACTTGCTCCATTGATCCTACCATT